TTTCCCTTCAGGAGCCGTTTTACATCTCAGAAGACAAAAAGATTCCCTACAAGTGGAGCGCTCCCGAGGCCATCAGCCACGGGAAGTTCTCCATCAAGTCCGACGTCTGGTCTTTTGGCATTCTGCTCTACGAGATCATCACCAGTGGAGGAGTTCCTTACCCAGGTTAGTCCACGAGAGAGATTCATTCGATTACTAATGTGTGTCTTTAGCTTTATCACAACAATCGTGATTATCCCAAAAGCTTGACTCTGCTCATCTGGATGTAGCGAAAACGTCAGACTAACTTCTGCTAACTCGAGTAACCTTTAAATCCTCTCAGGGACGCCTGCACGTTAAACTTTATTGTAACAGCTGAGCGAGCGCCGCGGCTGCGTCGCTGTGTTTCAGGAGCTGAAGGAGCGCTTGGTGAATAACGGCGGCCTCCCCCCAACCTCGCAGCTCGTGCAGTATTTATTAACACGTGCAGCCCTCTAGCTGCACGCTCTGCTCATGTCACAGTCCACGTGTGCTTGAATGCGATTGGCCGGTTTGCACAAGGAAAAGAGATAAGTGAGTTCCTGTAAACGTGCATAAATGTGGACTTTATGAAGCTCTGCAGTAACCAGAATAAATAACCGGAGCGAGCCAGCTGACCACTCCCACTATCTGACTTTCATACGTATTCAGAATTACAGCCTTCACAGACTCATGAGGCACTTACAGCTTTTCCAAAGCTACATAAATCCAGCAGATCTCCACATGAAAAACATTTAAGCTGTGATTAAAAACTGCTCTCAGATCAGTTTCAGTCCCGCTGCAGGACTCCAGTCTGAGCACTGAGCCCAGTTCTGATGATCAGACAAAGAGGAGCAGAGAGAAGTGCTGGTATCCTGAAAACTTCACAAAACGGTGCATTCTGGGTAAACTCGTTTTTATGCGGGATCAGAGTCACTTCTTTGTGAGGTTTGTCTGATTTCGTGTTGGCGTGTCGCTGTGTGATGGACACTGCACACTAACACGGGGAGGGTTTACAGAGCTGCTGCCCGACACAGCTCAGCTGCTCTGCAGATATTTGAGCTAACACAAAGCGCTCTTCATCACTTGTCCTCCTCTCCTCCCTCAGCTTACAGTAACCAGGAAGTGTACCAGCAGGTAACCCTGGGATACAGGATGCCCAAACCGCCCAACTGCCCAGACTTTCTCTATGAAATCATGAAGCGGTGCTGGAGCAACGAGCCGGCCGACCGGCCCGACTTCAGGGTACTGAGGGTCAAACTGGAGGGCAGCTCGTATGAGTTGGAGACGGCACAACCCTGAACTGCTGCAGTACAGATGGAGCGCCACGGGGGGGCAGCAGAGAGGCAGACACAGAGCAGCGACTGCAGAGCTCTTCAGTGAGGACGCGCTTTAAAGAGCAGAACCACCGAGAGTCTGCAAAGACTGCAGCTGACTCTCACCACCATCACCACCAACATCATCACCACCAACACCATCATAAACACCATCACCACAACCATCATCACCATCACCACCAACA